AACCATTACCACATACAGCATACCATACAGTATTCCCTTATCCCTTTGTGTGTAGTATATCAGATACAACCATTACCACATACTGCATACCATACAGTATTCCCTTATCGCTTTTTGTGTAGTATATCAGATACAACCATTACCACATACAGCATACCATACAGTATTCCCTTATCCCTTAGTGTATAGTATATCAGATACAACTATTACCACATACAGCATACAATGCAGTATTCCCTTATCCTTGTGTGTAGTATATCAGATACAACCATTACCACATACAGCATACCATACAGTATTCCCTTATCCCTTTGTGTAGTATATCAGATACAACCATTACCACATACAGCATACCACACAGTATTCCCTTATCCCTGTGTGTAGTATATCAGATACAACCATTACCACATACAGCATACCATGCAGTATTCCCTTATCCTTGTGTGTGTAGTATATCAGATACAATCATTACCACATACAGCATACCATAGAGTATTCCCTTATCCTTGTGTGCGTAGTATATCAGATACAATCATTACCACATGCAACATACCATACAGTATTCCCTTATCCTTGTGTGTGTAGTATATCAGATACAACCATTACCACATACAGCATACCATGCAGTATTCCCTTATCCTTGTCTGTGTAGTTCATCAGATACAACCATTACCACATACAGCATACAATACAGTATTCCCTTATCCCTTAGTGTGTAGTATATCAGATACAACCATTACCACATACAGCATACCATGCAGTATTCCCTCATCCTTGTGTGTGTAGTATATTAGATACAACCATTACCACATACAGCATACCATACAGTATTCCCTTATCCCTTTGTGTGTAGTATATCAGAAACAACCATTACCACATACAGTATACCATGCAGTATTCCCTTATCCCTTTGTGTGTACTATATCAGATACAACCATTACCACATACTGCATACCATAGAGTATTCCCTTATCCCTTAGTGTGTAGTATATCAGATACAACCATTACCACATGCAGCATACCATACAGTATTCCCTTATCCCTTTGTGTGTAGTATATCAGATACAATCATTACCACATACAGCATACCATGCAGTATTCCCTTATCCTTGTGTGTGTAGTATATCAGATACAACCATTATCACATACAGCGTACCATACAGTATTCCCTTATCCCTTAGTGTGTAATATATCAGATACAACCATTACCACATGCAGCATACCATACAGTATTCCCTTATCCCTTTGTGTATAGTATATCAGATACCACCATTACCACATACTGCATACCATACAGTATTCCCTTATCCCTTTTTGTGTAGTATATCAGATACAACCATTACCACATACAGCATACCATACAGTATTCCCTTATCCCTTAGTGTATAGTTTATCAGATACAACTATTACCACATACAGCATACCATGCAGTATTCCCTTGTCCCTGTGTGTAATATATCAGATACAACCATTACCACATACAGCATACCATACAGTATTCCCTTATCCCTTTGTGTAGTATATCAGATACAACCATTACCACATACAGCATACCACACAGTATTCCCTTATCCCTGTGTGTAGTATATCAGACAAACCATTACCACATACAGCATACCATACAGTATTCCCTTATCCATTTGTGTGTAGTATATCAGATACAATCATTACCACATACAACATACCTCACAGTATTCCCTTATCCCTTAGTGTGTAATATATCAGATACAACCATTACCACATACAACATACCTCACAGTATTCCCTTATCCCTTAGTGTGTAATATATCAGATACAACCATTACCACATACAACATACCATACAGTATTCCCTTATCCATTTGTGTGTAGTATATCAGATACAACCATTACCACATACAGCATACCATACAGTATTCCCTTATCCATTTGTGTGTAGTATATCAGATACAATCATTACCACAGACAGCATACCTCACAGTATTCCCTTATCCATTTGTGTGTAGTATATCAGATACAACCATTACCACATACAGCATACCTCACAGTATTCCCTTATCCCTTAGTGTGTAATATATCAGATACAACCATTACCACATACAACATACCATACAGTATTCCCTTATCCATTTGTGTGTAGTATATCAGATACAACCATTACCACATACAGCATACCATGCAGTATTCCCTTATCCCTTAGTGTATAGAATATCAGATACAACCATTATCACATACAGCATACCATACAGTATTCCCCGATCCCTTTGTGTGTACTATATCAGATACAACCATTACCACATACAGCATACCATGCAGTATTCCCTTATCCCTCAGTGTGAAGTATATCAGATACAACCATTACCACATACAGCATACCATGCAGTATTCCCTTATCCTTTTGTGTATAGTATATCAGATACAACCATTATCACATACAGCATACCATACAGTATTCCCCTATCCCTTTGTGTGTAGTATATCAGATACAATCATTACCACATACAGCATACCACATAATATTGTGGTGTGTGGCATTGGTACTGGCATTGCAGCCCAAGTGACACAATCGTCTCACCTTATGGGCCGGTTATCCTTTGGGAGGTGGAACCAGAGAAAGTAGGCTTGGCGTTAATGCACTGATACATCTCCAGACCTCCTCATGTGATGCATATTTAAAATATGTAAAATATATACTCATGCCAATAATGGTTGTCACCCCCCTCCCCACACACACGCCACCCCCTCTCCAATAAAAAAATTGAAGGGGCTGACAACCATTATTGGCATGAGTATACATTTGAAAACAAGCATAACTGATTTAAGTTTGAGCTACAGACGTGAGAAATGGAATAACCGAAAAAAGAACAACACTGTGCGTAAGTGCCAATGCGTAATGTAGATTTTAGCAGGTTGAAAACAGCAATATTTCTACAGATCTTCCGTTATTGCTATGTATTAAAGAACCGTACTGAATTGAATAACGCACGAATGTGAAACATATCGCTTAATGTAATGTTGTCATCTGTTAGGGAAAAGCTAAAGGTAGAGAGTAATAATGTATTGCATAACCTAAAACCACTCAAACCCAAAGTGTGAATGACATTATTTAAGCAAATGTTTAACAGCTCAAAGCCCTTCACCCCTGTTTGATCTCAGGGAGTCCATATAATGCTCAATATAGACTCCCTGCTACTCTGTAAATACATTTCGTCAGTAGGTAGGCGTGTTAAATTCACACCGGTAAAGCAAAGTCCATATGACTTAAACACACCAGGAAGTCTGTATGAGAGTTCTGATAGACTTACACATAGTTCATACTTGGACTGTACATAGCCTTCCTCATCTTACATAGACTCACATTACGCTTACTAACAGGAAGGTGTTAAAGATGTTCAAAAACCCTTTGGCTAACAAATTTAGCTCTGACGAAGCTTGGTAATTGCCAAAGATAAACTTTAAAAATAGAACAAAGGATAATCTACCTAAAATGATTCTAATAAAGATGGTAATGCTGATAAAAAATTATATGATACCATTTCTACTATTTCAAATCCCTGATATTCCAATAGAGTGATGTAGGGTGTGGGTTGTATCGGATGATGTAGGGTATGGGTTGTATCAGGCGATGTAGGGTGTGGGTTGTATAGGGTGATGTAGGGTGTGGTTGTTGTATAGGGTGATGTAGGGTGTGGTTGTTGTATCGGGCGATGTAGGGTGTGGATTGTATAGGGTGATATAGGGTGTGGGTTGTATAGGGTGATGTAGGGTGTGGGTTGTATCGGGCGATGTAGGGTGTGGGTTGTATAGGGCGATGTAGGGTGTGGGTTGTATCGGGTGATTTAGGGTGTGGTTTGTATCAGGTGATTTAGGGTGTGGGTTGTATCGGGTGATTTAGGGTATGGGTTGTATCAGGTGATTTAGGGTGTGGGTTGTATCGGGTGATTTAGGGTGTGTTGGGAGATTTAGGATCGGGAGATTGTAGGTGATTTAGGATGTGGGTTGTATCGGGTGATTTAGGATGTGGGTTGTATCAGGCGATTTAGGATGTGGGTTGTATCGGGTGATTTAGGATGTGGGTTGTATTGGGTGATTTAGGGTGTGGGTTGTATCAGGTGATTTAGGGTGTGGGTTGTATCAGGTGGTGTAGGGTGTGGGTTGTATCGGGTGATTTAGGGTATGGGTTGTATCGGGTGAGGTAGGGTGTGTGTTGTATTAGGGGTGTAGGGTATGGGTTGTATCAGGTGATTTAGGGTGTGTGTGTTATCGGATGCTGTAGGGTGTGGGTTGTATCGAGTGATGTAGGGTGTAGCTTGGGGACAACAGACTAAATTTAATGTCTCCATATTGTCTCACAACATAGACTAGGTCGTATATAGAGTAGCGGATTAACAACTCCTACGAGTGATGTCTCTAACGGACGATGTTGTACATTCTGCGCCAAGGCTATAAACACACACACACGTAATTCACCACATGGCATACATTCAAAGCCGACTATTCCTTCCCATCCCCATTTCGAATCTGCGTTGGACTTCGTCAACCTTATCACACGTCTAGACGTCTTGTTTTCGAGGAAATACGGTAGTGATCAAATATATTTACATCGATATAAGTAATAAACCTTATACGTCATTTTCCTGCTCGGGTATTTCCGGTGAAGGCGAACTATATCAACTGCTGACGTCGCACGGAGGGTATAACAACGCGGGTTGTTCCGGCGTGATTAGATCCATCCAACAGGGAGGTAACGTCAGCACAGTAACTGCATGACATTCATACTGTGCTTACCACAAGCAAACAGGCGCGTCCTTTGGTAAATTGGTTTATTTGAAATCTGACCGTGCCGCTTGGGTACATCATTATAATAACAATCTCCCCATATCGTGGCCTGAATCTGTGAGGCCCTGTCCTAATTTATGCCCTCCGTTTTTAAACGACACAATAATGAATGGTCTAATACAAGTTTGTGAATTGATCATATTCCACGCCAAAAGGTACGTATATGTGATTTAATGTCACGTCCAGTTGTAATGTCCTAGATGTCAAGGTTCAAGAGATGTCAGCAGTAACGATGTCGAATACGGTGGGGTATGGCAATTTTCCGAAACCACGACCCGTTATCAGAAGGGCAGTGACCCACTCACTATGTCCTATCTGTTTATTTGGGTGTGCGGCCTGTGATCGAAGTGGCAAGGAATGTCATTCACCAGCCGTGTGGCGCACACCCCCACAAGAACGCTGGTTGAATGCATAATACATAATGATCTACTTGGGCACACAGCCTCAAGCCAGTTGTGATTACAGCCGCGTCAATCCTTGGCGGTTGGTGAGATATGCGGAACTCTTATCGTAATTATACTCCTTGTTGCGCCAATCTACTCAACGGCCTAATTAATCTTAACTGCAAACCGCTGGATTCCGTGATGTTCCGAGTTGTGTATGGCTTGGTGGGATCATCCTGAATAGAAGGTGAGAAAACTGTGTTGTTGCGACTGACATTGATGCTGAGAGGGAGGGTAGGGAGATAGACTTTGCCTTTCGTACAAGGATATGTTTAAAGAGTCTTTTAAAGTATATCTATACTTGTTTTGTTGTCGTATTGCTGCCTGTCGTCGAACTATTCACTTGTACAGTCATGTGTTTTGTGCATGATGTTGTATCTTGTGTTGTTCGTCGCACTCAGCACTATCCCTGCTATATAATGGCTGTTTGTAAATAATCGACAGTTTGACGTGGGTTGTATAGGCTTCTGTCGGGCGAAGTTCAAAGCAGGTTGTATGCTGTGTATCGGGCGATGTTGCGTATGGGTTTTTCAGTGTTGTATCGGGTGATGTCGAGTTTGCCCTGTATATGGTTGTATTAGGGGTGATGCAGGGTGAGGATCGTGCTGTATTGTATCGGGTGAAGTTGGTGTACGTTGTATAGGGCTGTATTGGGGGTGATGTAGATTGTAGATTATATAGTGTTGTATCGGGTGATGTATGGTGTGGATAGTACTGTGTTGTATCGGGTGATATTAGGTGTGGATTGTACTGTGTTGTATCGGGTGATGTAGGGTGTGGATTGCACTGTGTTGTATCTGGTGATGTAGGGTGTGGGTTGTACTGTGTTGTATCGGGTGATATTGGGTGTGGATTGTACTGTGTTATATCGGGTGATGTAGGGTGTACATTGCACTGTGTTGTATCGGGTGATGTAGGGTGTGGATTGTACTGTGTTGTATTGGGTGATGTAGGGTGTGGATTGTACAGTGTTGTATCGGGTGATGTAGGGTGTGGATTGTACTGTGTTGTATCGGGTGATATTGGGTGTGGATTGTACTGTGTTGTATCGGGTGATGTAGGGTGTGGATTGTACAGTGTTGTATCGGGTGATGTAGGGTGTGGATTGTACTGTGTTGTATCGGGTGATGTAGGGTGTGGATTGTACTGTGTTGTATCGGGTGATATAGGGTGTGGATTGTACAGTGTTGTATCGGGTGATGTAGGGTGTGGATTGTACTGTGTTGTATCAGGTGATGTAGGGTGTGGATTGTACTGTGTTGTATCGGGTGATATTGGGTGTGTATGGTGTGGATTGTACTGTGTTGTATCGGGTGATGTAGGGTGTGGATTGTACTGTGTTGTATCGGGTGATGTAGGGTGTGGATTGTACTGTGTTGTATCGGGTGATATAGGGTGTGGATTGTACTGTGTTGTATCGGGTGATGTAGGGTGTGGATTGTACAGTGTTGTATCGGGTGATGTAGGGTGTGGATTGTACAGTGTTGTATCGGGTGATATTGGGTGTGGATTGTACAGCGTTGTATCGGGTGATGTAGGGTGTGGATTGTACTGTGTTGTATCGGGTGATGTAGGGTGTGGACTGTACTGTGTTGTATCGGGTGATGTAGGGTGTGGATTGTACTGTGTTGTATCGGGTGATATTGGGTGTGGATTGTACTGTGTTATATCGGGTGATGTAAGGTGTAGATTGCACTCTGTTGTATCGGGTGATGTAGGGTGTGGATTGTACTGTGTTGTATCGGGTGATATTGGGTGTGGATTGTACTGTGTTGTATCGGGTGATATTTGGTGTGGACTGTACTGTGTTGTATCTGGTGAGGTTGGGTACGCGTTGTATAGGGCTGTTTTGGGTGTGGTTAACTTGTTTGTTTGTTGTAGCCGGTGTAACAGGTTGCTGGCTGTATGTGGTGATGTGGCGTGTGAGTTGTATAATGTTGTATGGGGTGATGTTGGGTTGTACATTGTTGTATCGGGTGATGTTGGGTTGTACATTGTTGTATCGGATGATGCGGAGTGATATCATTATTTCGCCTGCTTGATACCGATGTACCTGGATGTACATACATTTCCAGAATATTCCTCTGTTGCCTTCAACCTATAAACCCGTTTATCCATCAAATGTGGGATCTGGGTTTACAGTAGACTTGCACAAGTCTCTAATGTAAAAAAATATAGTTTAATGATAATTTCGAAAACAAATATAAATAACAGACTGGCGTCCTGTACTGTCCACTTATCTAGACTTGCCTCTTTGAAGGACAGAAGTACTATACAGTATACACCCATGGGTTCAGCATTCAGTACAGCCTCCGAGCAAGGCTAGGTTTACAGCTGTGGGAATCTAGATGATAACAGCAATCTCGCAGCGCCTTTAGCAAATGTACATAAGTGGCATGCAGATGAAACGTGTGATAAACGTAATATTGTCTATGTCTCATGGCAGTACAGATTCTGTTATAACACGGGGAGAGCCCAACGTGACGCAGATGGTCGGTCACACTTACCTACCCCAGTTAACTGTCTCGTGGATGGACACTCAACCGTTGAAACAAATACACTCTGTTCAGTTTTGAGTAGGTCAGGATGGTTTCTTTGTGTTATAGCGAGGAGCGTATAGAGAAGATAATACCTTTTTTGATGATAACATATTATACCATTAAGGAAGTAAATAGCATTGCTTTTCAAACGCTCGTCCCGTTGTGATCAGGTGATAGTTTTTGGTTTCGCCAAATGACTCATAGCTCACATGCACATTTTTCAGTTAATGTTATGTTGGCAGGTAGGGAAGCGTGAACGTTGTCAAGTAGATGCAACTATTTCGCGAATACACAGTATTTTTTAAGACGGATTAACACAATATTCACTTCAGTGATTACTGGATGTATCCGTGAAGACTTTTATTATATTTTATGAATAAATTCTAATATCATCACTATACACTGAGTCATTGTTGAAATATACACCTACCCATAGCTTTAAGAAATGCAGCTCGCTCTACCACCATGTATAGTATAATAAAGTACACTTTTGCCCTGAACTATTATAGTTAAAGTACGAGGACTCTTACGGAGTAGTTTACTGTAGGAGGCTGTAGGAGACGATGACAACTGACATGCATCGTGATATGACGTCGGTTACCAAGGCTACGTTTGACAGTGTGACATCATGCGAAAAGTTTACCTTATCGCCAGATAAGTGCTGTCGGCGCCTTTGACCTTTTAGCAAAGCATCTTAGAAAGGTAGATATCGTGTCGTGGAGTAGTTTTTCAAGTTGTATTTAAAACTTTCTTTGTATCATACATTTCTGTATATCCTTGGTTGATATGCTGTCGACTGTCTTCACAATAACCTGCAGGTTTTTAAACGGGGGCCTGAAATATTTTGTCAGGGTCTGCATAGAGACATAACAATATAGATTGACTGTTGGATCTTTGTCGCAAGACAGTGTCCAGTACATATATTCAATTAAAAAGAAACCATAATCTGTAGAAATTCGCAAAAAATGCACCAGGGGTAGAGGAATATACGGAATGATACTCACGTGGTAAGCAAATCGCGTTAAGTGTCTTGTCTGAATTGACTGTTAGAGTTACGTACGTAGAGTTGTATCGGGTGATATTGGGTGTGGACTGTACTGTGTTGTATCTCGGGTGATGTAGGGTGTACATTGCACTGTGTTGTATCGGGTGATGTAGGGTGTGGATTGTACTGTGTTGTATTGGGTGATGTAGGGTGTGGATTGTACAGTGTTGTATTGGGTGATGTAGGGTGTGGATTGTACAGCGTTGTATCGGGTGATGTAGGGTGTGGACTGTACTGTGTTGTATCTCGGGTGATGTAGGGTGTGGATTGTACTGTGTTGTATCGGGTGATGTAGGGTGTGGATTGTATTGTGTTGTATCGGGTGATGTAGGGTGTGGATTGTACAGTGTTGTATCGGGTGATGTAGGGTGTGGATTGTACTGTGTTGTATCGGGTGATGTAGGGTGTGGATTGTATTGTGTTGTATCGGGTGATGTAGGGTGTGGATTGTACAGTGTTGTATCGGGTGATGTAGGGTGTGGAATGTACTGTGTTGTATCGGGTGATGTAGGGTGTGGATTGTACTGTGTTGTATCGGTGATGTAGGGTGTGGATTGTACTGTGTTGTATCGGGTGATGTAGGGTGTGGATTGTACTGTGTTGTATCGGGTGATGTAGGGTGTGGATTGTACTGTGTTGTATCGGTGATGTAGGGTGTGGATTGTACTGTGTTGTATCGGGTGATGTAGGGTGTGGATTGTACTGTGTTTTGTATTGGGTGATGTAGGGTGTGGACTGTACTGTGTTGTATCGGGTGATATTCGGTGTGGAATGTACTGTGTTGTATCGGGTGATGTAGGGTGTGGATTGTACTGTGTTGTATTGGGTGATGTAGGGTGTGAACTGTACTGTGTTGTATTGGGTGATGTAGGGTGTGGACTTTACTGTGTTGTATCGGGTGATGTAGGTTGTGGATTGTACTGTGTTGTATCGGGTGATGTAGGGTGTGGACTGTACTGTGTTGTATTGGGTGATGTAGGGTGTGGACTGTACTGTGTTGTATTGGGTGATGTAGGGTGTGGACTGTACTGTGTTGTATCTCGGGTGATGTAGGGTGTGGATTGTACTGTCTTGTATCGGGTGATATTCGGTGTGGAATGTACTGTCTTGCATCGGGTGATATTGGGTGTGGACTGTACTGTGTTGTATCGGGTGACGTAGGGTGTGGATTGTACTGTGTTGTATTGGGTGATGTAGGGTGTGAACTGTACTGTGTTGTATTGGGTGATGTAGGGTGTGGACTTTACTGTGTTGTATCGGGTGATGTAGGTTGTGGATTGTACTGTGTTGTATCGGGTGATGTAGGGTGTGGACTGTACTGTGTTGTATTGGGTGATGTAGGGTGTGGACTGTACTGTGTTGTATCGGGTGATGTAGGGTGTGGAATGTACTGTCTTGCATCGGGTGATATGTGGTGTGGACTGTACTGTGTTGTATCTCGGGTGATGTAGGTTGTGGATTGTACTGTGTTGTATCGGGTGATGTAGAGTGTGGATTGTACTGTGTTGCATCGGGTGATGTAGGGTGTGGATTGTACTGTGTATTCAAGTGCAATAGGGGTGACAGTCGTAACAACGCATATCCCAGCGTGTATCAGCATAGGGCCATCTTGTTGTGAGCGACTTGTATAAGGCTCGTCTTCCATGCTGATTTCGGTTCCTTAAATGGTCTTGACAACTGGACAAATGCTTCTTATCGTCCCGTATCATTAAATTAGTATTTCTAATTTATGGTAGACTATCTAACCAGTAAACACAGCTCGGCTGTCGAACTATGGAATAAGTATTACTTTTTTGGATTCAACGATTTGTTGAAATTGAGGTGAGTGAGTATGGTTTTACGTCGCTTGTAGCAACATTCCAACAATGGCACCAAGGGGACCCCAGAAGTGGGAATCGACCCCAGACCTTCGTCATGACAAGCGACCGCTTTAACCACTAGGCTCCTCCCTCTCCCCTTTAAATGAGGACAATAGATTCATAGTGATATAACTATAGCATAATGAGTGGGCGGGTGAGTCGGATTTTAAGTAGATGTGAGTACTATTTTCTGACGACAGGTCAGTTTCCTGTGGATGGAAAGCTGATTCATTTCAGTGCTGGGGCATGAGCAACTCCGATTTTTAAATATAGACTTCCACTGGTGTCAGCGCAGATCACTGAGTGCAAGCTGACGCAGGTATTCTACCAACGAAACAGTGACACTTAAAACGCCATCTGGGATTTGAACTCAGATTTTTGGGTTGGGCACGATTGAAATCCTCTTCCGTCTGGAAGTTAGGAAGAAACCCCAGAGGTATATGGGACACTTACGATAGGATACACAGGTATTTGGATCGGCAGGAGATTCAGCATATTTTCATATCATGTTTGATGAAACGGTTTAATCTGATCATAATTACATTACGTAATTAGTCTCAACCTTTTGCACTGAAATAGAAATAATTTAAACTCCTTTCACGATAACTCGTCTATCATACTTCCATCATCTCACAAATGGGCCTTAGGACTTAAATCGATCAAAATTCTATAAAATGTTGTATGTAAAATTGTGAATGCCACTATACTCTGTAACTATATAGGACACGAGACCGACGATCGGATGCGATTAACGGTTATATGGAAACATAGTTTACTATATCCGAGTGCGTCACATTAACAAAAACCGACACGCCAAACTGGCGGATGCGACAAACGGATAGGTGTTAGCAAAATCTTTAACAATTCGGGCGTTAAATACTTTATGTCATCGATTATACAGTGAGTGGAGCACAGTTTTATTACTCGTGACAACAGCGTGACAGCTTATAGCCCAATTTGTGACAGCCGGTCTAGATCCCCAACCTCTCGCTCTATGTATTTGCTTAACGCAACCTTTGTACTCAGGAACCGTTGTGCTATAACTCGTTGTATTGTTTGCAATCGACATGGCACACGTCCAACTTCGGAATCATTCGATCATATAGCTTTAAGTAGTGTGAACATATATGACGCAACGGATATAGAGACACGATTTCAAGAAAGGGCTTGTGGTTTTGAATCTGTACATGGTAAGTCTTAGTGACTTATTTGTTTTGAACACTTTGTCGTTAATCAAATGCAGTTTATGTGCATGTAATCTATAAGTTAATAGGCTTGGTTGGTACGTGCCCGTTACTTGAATGTCATATCAGCATGGTAATTACCCGTGTTTACCAACACAGCAGGTGCGTGACTGAGGTAATGTTAGGCTGTATGTAGTGGTTGATATGGACGTCTTATAATGTATGTATCATTATGATCGGTAGTACCTCACATATAATATCGTGCGTTTCACACTAAAGCATTACCTCGATTAAAAAAACAACAGACTATGAATTGCAGTAAGTTGAATTGTTAGAATTGGACACCTTGTCGATTGTTTTGATTGTTGTTATTTTTCATGTTTTTGTACTGAAATATCATTAACACTTTCACTGCCATTTGTGTTCGTGGTATGGCGTATTTCACAGCTACTTGTTTTAACGTTAGTACATATAATAAAGTGTTTGGGAAAAACAGTATACATTTGAAATTGGATTTACAAAATTACAAAAGATATTAAGTGGGGTACGTTTCTCAAAGGGAGCGCTAAAATGATCCTAACTCCCAGACTTAAACATACACTTACGACAGTCTTAGCACTATCATCGCTTTTACTCTTCAATGTGAGAATTGATTGAAAGTTTACTGAATGCCAGCATTACTTTTATGATCTAACATGCTATAAAACAAAATACATCTCTCGACGCGAATAGCTGCAAAATGCCTGATGCGGCGTTAAAGAATCTTCACTCACTCACTCACGCTTTGTTGAACGGGCCTGGATCTGTTGTGAGATACTCATTGGTATGATGAATGTCATATCGCCCAGCATACCCGTATTCAAATACATCGCCATCAAATAATCATTTCCTATCTGTTACGGGGCGGTGGGGTAGCCTAGTGGTTAAAGCGTTCGCTCTTCACGCCGAAGATCCGGGTTCGATTCCCCACGTGGGTACTGTGTGTGAAGCCCATTTCTGGTGACCCGACAGGATATTGCTGGAATATTGCTAACTTACTCACTCACTGTCTGTTTCGTGTTATCTCCCATCAAACATGGGCATACACCTTCCCTTGCCCAGCAGCTTAGTTTTAAAATAATTAAACGCTAATACTTTTGCAATACTTTGAGCTCGGATTAAGAATCAATATTTACCTTCAAACCTTTCCCATATCACGAACGTTTAACGTGGTAATTGTTTCTTATATCTAAAATTTCAAAAGTCTTGAGCTACCATGTTACCATGACCTAGTCCTTTGACTATAGTCATATATATTTCATTGTGCATGGCTCATAGTGACCTTAATCTGATTCCTCTTCCGTCCACACAGAAAATTACACATTATGCGTTTGACACATTTCCTGTCGTATTCACCGTCATTCAGCTCTTGCGGTGTGCATTCCTGCGTACAAGGGAGTTGCCTCCCTTTGCTTAGCAAAGCAGGGTTATGTGGTCAGATTAAGTCGAAGCATATTTACACTTTAGAACAAACTCTTAGTTTTGGATGAGACGTGTCAGTCATAGTATGACCTTTACCCTGTGAAAATCCGGGTTGAACGTTGGCTGTCTGTCGACACACTGCAAGTTCCGTGCCTTGTGTGAATGTTTTACTGACATTGTCTGACCAGAACATATATTAGGCTAGCGCAGTGGATGGTGTGAAAACACCTTTACATGCTTGGCCCAGTTTGATTCCCTTTAAGGTATGTAATATGTAATTATTAATCTGTTTCCACTGTTCGAATCTTCACAAAGATCCTTCGAAACACTTCTTTGATGGGCATTTTAGAAGTTGAGTTGATGGAGAATGATGACAATTGTTTTGGATATACAACTTCTTTTATTGTTAAAGGCGACGTTTCGACATAGTTTCTAATGTCGTTTTCAGGCAAGGGATGCAAGTGCAACATTAGAATCTATGTCGAAACGTCGCCTTTCACAATAAAAGAAGTTGCATATCCATAAGAATTGTCATCATTCTTCATCCTTATTAACAGTATGTAGCATAATTTACAGTCGCCATCTTTATTAATAGGGGCGGTGAGGTAGCCTACAGGTTAAAGCATTCGTTCGTCACGCCGAGGACCCGGGTTCGCTTCCCCACATGGGTACAATGTGTGTCCACCGCCGTGATATTGCTGGAATATTACTAAAAGCAGCGTAAAAGCATACTGACTACTGACTCTTTATTTATAACCACTTACAAAATTGTATTTTGTTTCAGCCAAGTGCACATGTGATCTTGTGACGTCATGGGAAGCGGAGCCACAAAAACCCTCACCACCTCACCGGACGAACGCGGTATGGTGCATCGCGTCATCATCGAGGATAGCGTCATATCGCGTGGCAAGCGGAAGTTCACGTGTCCTGGTCGTCTGGTCGGGAGCTGGAGGGCGGGAGAAGTAGTCGTTGTGAAAGTCCTGGAAAAGTCCGTCCCCGATGAACAGTACTGGGATGAGGAGATCGAGAAATGCAGAAGGCTCAGAGAACACATCATATCCTTCGGCAAGACTGTAAACCTACCGATAAAAATTCACGTCGAATTTCCAATGACTGCCTACGTGGACAAAGCATCGAAATGGATGAAGAAGAAGATGAAGCTTAAAGAAGGGGAATTTGTGCTTGTTGAGGAGCCGCTGGGAGAGGACTATGCCGAACTGTTGGACTCGTGTGGTAAAGTAGCAACCAAGGTGCCTCAGGGTGTTGCCGACATTTTGGGCGAACTGATGCACTTCACCTATCATGAGTCATGCCGGAAGGACATATTTTGTGGTTTTCAAGGAACAGTTTCAGGGAATGTTGTGTGTCTTTCCGAGCCGACAGTCCATTCGGTAGACACCAAATACAGGGAGACAGACATGGGGTTGGAAGGCATCATAGAAGCGTTCATCAACCATAGGTGTACGGCAAGGTGCCATGGCTGGCTGAAGCCAGGCGGGGTGAATCACACCAAGTTCGAGTCAATATGCACTACGGTATAGGGAGGTAGCCTTTGTATATTGTGTTGTTTTGGACGGAACGTGAATAACCTGCCTTCAATACTCACAGATCATTCGAGGTGCAGCTGTGATCATGCTGTCATGGCTTACGCTGGCCGGAAGTGACATCAGCCAAGGTTGAGGACATCCGTGTCGCCTTTGTGTATACATGTATATATATGATGACAATGGTGTTATAAGCTGTTACGTTTCTGAAGACTCTTGGATTATGGATTTTTCCAACATTTTATGGGCAATGTTTAGCCATCGAAGTTTGACTTTGTTAACTTTGACATTACCATTGTGTTTCCAAGTGATAGACTTGCGTTATTGGACCATAAATGACGTACAGTTTCCGCCGTTAAAACAGTGTCATGAATAGAGTTCCGTACATTCCATGATGTCTGTATGGCGTCTGAAAGGACAGTTTCAGCCAGTCGTGAAAGTAATATGTACTGACAATACATAGCGTGTGAGGAACTATCGGATCTGGCTAAAGTTCTCCCTTTGTTAAGATATGTTATTGTTCATACGTAGTTACGATGCACACATTGTATATACTGACGTTTTAACCAAGGCCCTACTGACAGTCAGTATCAATCGAATAGTATACAAAGGAACATGGTGGACAGATTTCCTTATAAAATAACTAGCACGATTTCATTGTATAACTTTGTCCACCATGCAAAGCCTATTTCTCTCGAGGTTGTACAACACGGTGTCCTTTGGTGCTATCTACTACAAATGAAAACATGACAATATTTTATTTGGCGTGTAATAGATATTTATTGGAATAATATTATATACCATCAATCTTCAATGGAGTCCCCTTGAAGTATTCACCTGATTAATGCACTGTGCACAATCGAACTATCTGTAATGATCAAGTTCAGATTTATTGTATTTTCCTCGATCCCTTGTCATGTCAGCATGTATGTATATTAACGTCAAAGTGTCTAAGTGTATATAAGATATACTTGCTGGCGCCACAGTAAATATAAAGTCAGTATTACTATGCCTTGTTGACCTCAGTCGGTTCACAGGATGATATGTGCAATAAACACGGATCTCAGAGTATGTTATTGATGTGTTATATAGAGACCTGACTGCTTAGGGATTAACTCTCCATGAGGAATTACGGATTATTTGTCTTAGGTATTAGTTCTGAGTCTTGCCAAAGGAGGTAATCCATAAATATGGGTTTGTTGAGGATTATGCTTAATGTTACCCATAGTTTCTGTTTGCAGAAAATATTAAAACGTGGGTTCAGTGATCTCAAGTTGAGACACGAGTTGGCCTAAACGTCGTTTGCGACGCCATTAAGAATGGTTAACGTCATCTTTGCTGTGACGTCACGTTGCTATGGGTCTCTTGGCAACCTAGAACAATTAGAACGGAAAATACACTCAAAACTATCATAATCCAGCAAAGATCTATAAGCGTACCCCAATTAGTAATTTTTGATTGTATATACAGTGTCATTTCATCATACAAATATTGTCCCCAGCACCAGTGATTGTCATACGAAACTAAATTGATCGGATGATCCAGCGCGGGGATTTAGTTGAATGGATGTTTTCATAGTTAGAAGGCATGGAGCATGGCTCTTTTTATCAATCATTGTATGATCTTGTCCGGATTCGATTATTACAAGCCAACGACATGTAAGGAAATATTAAACAAGGAACAAACGGCTTTAATTACCGTCAGTGTCCTACCATGCCCATGTAGGTTCGGTGCTGATACATCAAGTAGATTGAATGGGTATGTCTGAAGAAAAGGACTCTGTTGGACCTTTAAGATGGACTAAACCAAGGTTAATCGTAAAACCGTTCCCACTTCTTTTTCTTAAGTTTTAAGGGCGGTGGGGTAGCCTAGTGGTTAAAGCGTTGGCTCGTCACGCCGAAGACCCGGGTTCGATTCCCCACATGGACTCAATGTGTGAAGCCCATTTCTGGTGTCCCCCGCCGTGATATTGCTGGAATATTGCTAAAAGCGGCGTAAAACTAAACTCAGTCAGTCAGTCTTAAGTTTTAATGTATAACCACCCTGGGGTTCAGGATTAATCTGTTATAGAAACGCAGTGTGTGTTTCAGACACGACTGAAGTCCAGACTAAGATTAAGGATGGATTAATGATCATAAACCCCTATATTGATCCTGGGACATTATCCTGGGCGATTGACCCTGGGAGCATTATGTATGCCCCATTTACTTGATATAATGTCAAAGACTTAGACTCGGTGTATTTTACATAGAAGGTAGACCTCAGTGTAGCAATGGTCATACGAATTCAATTAAAACGTGTCCCTTCAACTTGTAGCATGCCACACAGTTGCACCGTCAGAACATCCTAAGGTACATCGCATACAATGTACGCAGCCAACTTGTAGTTGGTTGGTTTGATGTTTAACGCCACACTCAGCAATATTTCAGTCTGTAAATAATTGTGTCTGGACCAGACAATCCAGTGATCAAAAGTATGCGCATCGATCTAAGCAATTGGGATACGATGACGTATCGATGTGTCGCTCAAGTCAGCAAGCCTGACCACCCGATCCCGTTAGTCGACTCTTATGACAAGCATGGGTTACTGAAGACTAATTCTAACCCGGACGTTCACGGGTTCAGCCGAGCTGTAAGACACAAACCGAAACATGAGTCTCATTAACCTATTCAGGCAATGACCTACTTTTCCGCCGATCCGAATGTTCTCGTTTGAAAGTGAAAATAGACATCACAAACAACTATGGTTACACTGAATTCCAATTCCTTGTTTAAAAAGAAAATGGTATTTACAAACAATTTTAATTTTAAACTTTAATAACATCGTATTTCTATATTTTATGGCGAGGTGTAGGCAGCATGACCTTAACTAAGACGTCACAGACTGCCCCTGTTTGATGAGGTCGTAAAATGATTCACAATGCATTTGGCTTACTGGCTACACCTGTTATGTGTTTTTTGCGCTTATTCAGTGTAGTTCTGTAACACACAATGTGATTGATATAATATCAAATCCGTACCAGACCGCCAAACGTTTTAGCGGCATAGCCTCGTTTTGAGATTTCAACGATTTCCAGGTTTCCGCTTCTCAGAGCTCGCTGTACGATAGAGCACGCTGCACGACGTGTTTGCAAGGATTAGAAGGAGCGTAGTGTTGCAATATACAAGTGCTTAGATGTATCATATAATACTGATTAATATTTATGTATCCAGTTAAATGAATTGGTCTAAAAATCTGGACTGGTTATTGTACTAAGTTCCGCAATAGGACGGAACCCTGTCAGCAGGAAATGAGACTGTTGTGTAATCAATGTTTTGACTTGAGGACCTGATGATGATTTGGAGATTGACGTGCGATTTCCGACGTAATGCGTATTCGCACACATACATAGGACTTGTCCTAATTCGTACTATAAGCTGACGTCTCGACCAGCGTAGGAAATTGACGGTATTTCGCTTGAGAATCCAATTGTGAACCCACACCGATTGAAGCCTTCTTGTTCGTGACTGTGATACTGAAATTAACGCTAGCGTCTCTTCTCACTGAACGGACGAAATGTTGCCGAGTCTTGCGTGAGAATCTCGCGAGATACGAAATGTCTGGGACTTTAAAACTAATCCAAAACCAAATTCGTTAACAATCTGTATTGTTACTACAAGACGTATGCTACAAGTTGTTTCTTCAAGACGCGTCGTGAAAACTCTCCGTGAGAGATATAAGCGATTATAAGCGTCTAAATGTTATTTTCTCAACAATGACTAGTCACGGATGGGGTAGCCTAGTGGTTAAAGCGTTCGCTCGTCACGTCGAAGATCCGGGTTCGATTCTCCACATGGGTACAGTGTTTGAAGCCCATTTCTGGTGTCCCCCGCGGTGATATTGCTGGAATATTGCTAAAAGCTGCGTAAAACCAAACTCACTCACTCACTATTAGGTGCTAGTGAATCATGCTTGTGACAAAGAACGTGTCTTGTACACGAGACTACCCAGAAATACCATATTCTACTGTAATGCCTTGTTTTTAAGTTCGATAGGAAGGGTACCACAAACTGCCATATATTCAGTTTCGACGACATGATGCACAGTTAAACCCGCAATACTTTAATCTGCCCTACCTATAGAATTCAGTTAGCTGGGTCGAGTCTTTAGCGTGTCAAACACTGGTGAGACATCTCTCGCTAGTTATTTCCTACAAAGGTCAGAACCAGATTTGCAGAACGAACAGCAGCAGTTATATTGTCATTACTTGTGGAGAGGTATGGAGTGTTGAGTATTTGGTTGTGTGTGTGTGTGTTTGTTGAGGCGGGAGTTTGGGAGTGGGGGGTATTGGTTGTCACATGATGACAGGATGTGTTTAAGGACTGTGAAATGTATCACGTCAACTGCATGTTGACAGACACACCGGTAATCTTTGACCTGAATAACAGCATGTATACTCGCCTTGGCGCCATTTCCAACGACGTGATCACTGTCAGCACACCAGTGCAAGCCGTTTTAGTAAAACCAGCTGAAGAGGCTTTTCCTGGGAACCCGAATTAGACAGACCATTGGAGATATTTACTTCAGGTTATTTGGTTGATAGCGTCGCATTGAACGTTGACGGCGTCGGGCGTTGCTGATGATATCACCCACTGGTTTATCTGTCCCAGACTCGATCATATACAGGACATCGGCGTATAGCTAGAATATATTCTGACTGCGGCATAAAACAATATCAGTCCCAACGTGTTTGCAGACATGTTTGGCACTGCATTGTAAATGGCCGGTTTACTCAGGTACTACATATTCGTACGCGGTGTTATAAAGTTATTTTAGTAAAAGAAAATAACACGGGTTTTATTATCGATTATTTTAAGAATGATATCATCTGCTTCCGTATCGTAATTATCACATATTCGGAATAAAAAATATATATGGCGTTCGAGATAGGCGACACAAAGCATTGAGCAATCTTGTTTCAAACCACGTGTGCAATCGAGGAAGTGAAGGGCTGGGAGAGTCTTGCTCAACTGTTCGTTCGCTTAACTGTTTAACTAGAGTAAACTAATACGCACATTAATAAGGTCACCTTTCTCAAATTTGTTTCTTGTTGTAAGACCTGGTCGATGGCTCCCAAATACAAGAGTAAATGCCAGTGCCAGTGTAAGCCCTGTGTGTTAAGCAAGTGGTTGTTGTTTGTGTCTGGTAAATATCACTGTGTCGTACAGCAGTGACTGGTAGAAGTGTTCTTAATTCTAGACAGGGTGTGGTCATTTACCGATTGTTACCGTTTTCTCATAGTTGGAGATGGCCGACCCTGGTTACCGACATGTGCAGGATCAGTGGAAGTCCCGGACTTTTAATGTGGTACTGTTCATCTAATTGTATGTACACTCTTTAGCTATGGAGTATCATTGAACTATATATATATCAGAGACGTGGACTCTGACTGTCCGGTATAGATGCCAGTACATTTAACAAGAAAGGGGATGTCACCAAACACAAGTTATAATATAATTGTTTTGAATCAATCAGTCACGCAATTAAACTCAGTTACAGTGCACTTGCCTGTCACTCACTTAAACTAAGTTACAGTGTACTAGTAGTTAAATGTCACTCACTTAAACTAAGTTACAGTGTACTAGTAGTTAAATGTCACTCACTTAAACTAAGGTACAGTGTACTAGTAATTAAATGTCACTCACTTAAACTAAGTTACAGAGTACTTGTAGTTACCTGTCAAGCACTTAAACTAAGTTAAAGTGTACTAGAAGTTAATTGTCAATAACTTAAACTAAGTTACAGTGCATTTGCAATTACCTGGCGTAAAACCATAATCACTCACTCACTCTAACTGCAAGGGGCACCCTTGTGTACAGGTTCGACGGGACACATTGTAACCTATCAGTGGATGTGGCTGTGCGGAGTGGTCATGAAACACAGTACACGTTAATGTTTATGAAACGTGTGTAAAATCTCGGTGGTGCTCTGTGATGCTCAGTGTACCAGACAAAAGACAGTGGATGAAGTTTTGGGTTGTTTGTTGTTTAACACTGCACTCAGCAGTATTCCAGCTATATAGCAGCTGT